ATAAATTTAGCCCATGAGCTCGCGGCACACCCCAAGTCCGCTCGTGCCCTGGGTAGGCCTAACTAGGCTTGAGTCTAAACCCAACCTAAGACCCTGAGCTATGTGTTCTAGAGCCCGACCCGACCCTGGTGTGTTATGGAGTGTGACCCATCCCGTGAGATCGCCCCGAAATTTTCTTTCCCATCTAGCTCGACCTGACCCCAATGGCTCCTTGCCCCCATTGTCAGTGCAATGGTCAAAAATTTAAATCAAAACAATTTGAAAGAGTCATATAACCGTTAATTCCACCAACAATCAATTTTATTTTTTTTTATTTTTATATATATAAATTAACTCCTTCCTCCCAAGTCCTATAAATACCACCCCTCTCACATTTTATTTCTCACAACAAATTTGTCTCTCAAACTCTCATTCTCTCTAAACTTTCATACATATACAAATCTTTGGCCGTAGTTATGATTTTATCAATTTGTACATATCTTATAGAACTGTTGAAAATGAATACGATTTTGTTGTACTGTTTTGCTATCTCAGCTCTCTTCATCTATCAAACATCTCTCTCATTCCTTACTGTCATTGTAGATATCTCCGATGTTCCTTATCGGAAACAACACCATTTTTGACATTATTTTCACAGACGACAAGTCCGTTCAGTCTCTCTTACTCATATTCCCTTTCCTTTCGCTCTATTGGTTAATTTTCTCTAACTCTCATTTTCTGTTCCATGGCTATAAGTCGTGGATTAAATTATTTGATTATTGTCATTACATTCTGTGTTTATCTGTATCATTAGAGATCCTGATTGGTAATTAAATTATTTAAAAAATTTAGATGTTTTTGTTACACCAATTAGTGGATAGTTACATAATTTTTGGTTAATGTTATGAAATTTTGGAAATTAGTTACGACATTTGTGATTTTCTAGAATTTTAAACAATTTCATTACGCCAATTAGTGATGCAGTTATGTATTTTCTATTTTATATCACAAAACTTTGTGACTTGATTACAATATTATGGTCTGTTTGGTAACTATTCGGTTTTTAGTTTTCAGTTTATATTTATAAAAATTTTAAAAGTTGTAAAAGGCCTGTCACCTTTCTTTATCCTTTTCATTGTTGTAAAAGGCCAAGACCCTAGATTGAGAAGGGTGTACCAACTGAACTCTTCAAGATGAAAAAAATAAAATTCTCGAATCATAGAACATCGATGATAAAAGTAAACAAGAGGTCGACAATAATAAGGCATGCTTCCAATTAGTTCCAATTGACGTTTTGGTGGCAAATGCTACTGTGCAAAGAATTGTCAGAGCTAAAATGATGGTTTGGCCATTTTCAAGAGAATATTTTATGGGAAAAGACGATTGAATAGTGGCATTCAATTTTCTATATGCACTTGCTGTTGCGCATTTGCTTCGAAAATGAGCGAAAACACTAAACAAAATGGCTTCATAGCCTTTGCTAGAAATTTATACAAAACAAATATCCATCAAAATACTAACAGATTTAAGTCCATACAACAAAACAAATATCCATCAACCATCGTTTAAGAGTATTTATACAAAATACTAACAAATTTAAGTCCTCAAATTTTTTTTTTAAAAAAAAATTTTAGTTTAGAATATTTTTCTGCAGCCTATTTTTTTATTTTATTTTATTTTTGTTACTAAAAATCATGAACTAATTTTTTGTGGTAGAGGAAAGGGAGCGGCAATAGTGGTGAAGATGGTGGACAAAAGATGATGGTGATGGTGATGGTCATGGTCATGGTGAAAGAGATTAGTAGTGAAGTTGTGGTAGTGGTAGTGTAAATGGAGTGACAGGGGTGAAGGAGAGGTAATGGTAGTAGTAGTGGCAGTAGTGGTAGTAGAAGTAATGGTGGTGGTGGAATAGCGTTTGTAGTAGTGGTGAAGGTGGTAGAGGAGATGGGTGGTAAGAGAGATAAATGAGTGAGAGATAGATAGAGGAGAGAGAGGAGAGAGAGAGACAGAGTGATGAGCGAGAGAGAGAGAGAGAGAGAGAAAGAACGCAAACACAGCGGGAGAGAGAGAGAACAACGCAAACAGAGAAAACGAGAGTGAGGGAGTGAACAACGTAAACACAGTGGGAGAGAGAGAGAGAGGGAGAGAGAGAAAGAAAAAGAGATAGAGAGTGAGAGACAAAAAAGAGACATAGAGAGAACAGAGATGAACGTGAGAGATAGAGAGAAGAGAGATGAGCGAGAGAGACATAAAGAGAAGAGAAATGAACGAGAGAGACAGAGAGAGATAGAGAGAAGAGAGATGAGCGAGAGAGATAAAGAGTAGAGAGATGAGCGAAAGAGACAGAGAGAGAAAAGAGATGAGAAAAGAGATGAGAGAAGAGATAGATGAGTGAGAGACACAGAGAGAGATAGATAGACAGACAGACAGATAGACAAACAGAGAAGAGTGATGAGTGAGAGAGAGAAAGAGAAGAGAGAAATGAAGGAAGATAAAAAAATGGATGAAAATATATAGACAAAGAGAGAAAGAGAGAGAGAGAGAGAGCGAAAAGAGATAAACAAGAGAGAGAGAGACAAAGAGAGATGGGCGAGAGAGCGAGAGAGATAAAGAGAAGAGAGACAGAGAGAGAAGAGAGATGAGAGAGATAAAGAGAAGAAAGATGGACGAGAGACACAGAGAGAAAGAGAGACAGACAGACAGACAGAGAAGAGTGATGAATGATGAGTGAGAGAGAGAAAGAGAAGAGAGACAGAGACAGAGAGATAGAAAGATGAAAAAATGGGTGAAAGGAGAAATGTTCAAAAGAGTAAGACGACGTCATTTTTATTTTTTCTATTTTTTCTTTTTGTAACAGAAAAATACCATTGCATTTATTTAAACCATTTTATGACCATATATATATGAAACCGTCTCAAAGCCACAATATATATATATATTTTTTAAACTTTTCTTTTTTTGCAACGGTACGTTTTACGATCGCACAAAACTTTTTCTTTTTTTTTCCGACTGCAGCTGGTATCGTCGCAAATACTCTTTTTTTTTTTGCGACAGCAATTTCTATCATCACGAATACTCTATTTTTTTGCGATGCCAAGTTATGTCGTCTCAAAAAGTCACATTTTTAGGCAACGGCAAGTTGTGCCGTCTCAAAAAGTCACATTTTTTTGAGACGGTAAGTTCTGACGTCTCCAAAAGTCACATTTTTTGCGACGACAAGTTGTGCCGTCTCAAAAAGTCACATTTTTTTATATTTTTTATATGTATAACTACTAATTTGTAACAAATTTTACATGTTAAATCTCTCTCATACTCATTTTTACTTTAATATTCCATTAGAAATTGAAATATATATATGTATTAACTATATAAAAGCGGAGCAGTTTTGAAAATGGATTATAAATCTTAAAATTTAATCTGTAATTAAAAGATAGAACGATATGGATTAGTGGGGATTATACCATATTTTGCACAACTCTAGCAGAGTTTATGAGTGAAATGAATCTGAACCATTGGTTCTTATTTCTGAATAAATTTTGGGTTTGTAATCTTACTATTTAAAATAATGACAAATTATTGTATAATCCCAACATTTTGTTACTTGTATCATTTTAATCCTTATAATTTTAATAAATTTAATTTTAGATTTTACATTAATTTAATCCAATTCACAAAATCATTAAGATTTTTTTATGAAAAATGATCACTGACATTAATTAAGCTTATAGTTTTGCTTATTAAAATATCATGCATGTGGCTTAGGTGTGCATATGTTATATAAAAAATAAAATAAAATTATAAATTTACTCTTAAAATTTATTTAAAATGCAATTTGTTTCTTGTAATTTTGAAAATTACATTCTTCCTCTCAAAGTTTATAATTTCATAACAAATGATCCATTTTATCAATAAATTATCGAGTCAATTGGTAACAGTTTTTAATAATGTTAGAAATTTATTTCAATTAATAATTCAAATAATTTTGTCATTAGAAATTTTATTTTTAGAGTTAATTATATTAAATAAAAAATTCTGATAAGGGGATATTTATAATTTTTCAAATCACAGGGGACAATCTGTACTTTAAGTCAATCTCAGGGGGTATTTGTAATTTACCCTAATAAATTTGATAGATTACATAGCTAATAAAAAAAAAATATGGCATAATAAATATATAAAATTCTATGTTTTGCACATGTCCCCAACGTGTTGTGTGCTGCATTTTTTGAAAATTGGTGTCCATGTCATGTCACCTGTCCGTGCTTCTTAGGCTATCGTTACATGTTCTGATACCGCAAGTTAAAACCATGGTCATGTCCATGTTGTGTCACGTGTCCCATGTTTCTGCTTTCTAGATAAACAGTGCTTTTTTTATACATTTAAATGTCATGTTGGCCTTCAGTTTTCTTTTGATTTGCTGCTATATGGATCTTGGCATCATAATAAACCTCCTAGACTCCTACTTCATTGCCCAAACTCTAAAGAAACATCTTTAGTATACTTCATTTTGCTTTAACTAGTGTCAGTTGTTTTGAGACCTTATTGGGACTTATAGGAACATGCCCTTAATTTTTTCTACTAATCCGTGTTCAATGTATTTATTTCATTTGGAATGAAACACAATGTTTATGCTTGTTGGCAAAGGATTTTGTGTTTCATTCTACATAATTCATGTATAGTATATTTGATTTGGTATACCTCTTCTCTTTTCAAAGAGGCTTAATTGCCCTAGTCATCATCTACTTGTACTTGCTTATATATATTTTGTACAGTCATATTTACTGATGCACATGCGCATGCGCACATACTTGTATACATGTGTAATATGTACGTTTAAATATGTATATGCTGATGTTCATAATGTATTTTGAGGATGAGGAAACCCTGTTGTTTGTTTTGTATACATTTAGAAGACATTTTCAGCCTTTATTCACCTTTTCTTAATTAATTGTTATATTGATCTTGGCATCATGAGAAAACCTTTACTTTCTTGGCCAGGCTCTCAAGCAACATTTTTATAATCCTCTTTGCTTTGACTAGTATCAAATTTTTGAGGCTTCTATTGTGATCTGATGCCTATGCTTTTATAGCTTATTTGCTGCCTTATCATATGGAATTGCTTCAATGGCCATGGTTTTCATCAATAAAGCAGTTCTCATGCAGTATGCATCCTCAATGACCCTTCTCACTCTCCAGGTATTAGTTGGAAACATATTTAATGCTTTATCCTTTCTCTGATGTTAGCGCTGCTTTTGATTATGAACTGGCATACTATCTGGCATCTGCTATATTTGGAAATTTCAGCAATTGGCAACAACCATGCTTATATATTGTGGGCGGGTGATGGGATACACAAAAGCCAAAGGAGTTAATGTTGAGACTGCCAAAAAGCTCATCCTAGTTTCATTATTCTACAATGCAAATGTGGCATTTGCTTTAGCAAGTTTGAAAGGAGTAAATATTCCGATGTATATTGCCATAAAAAGACTTACACCGCTTGCTGTATTAATTGCTGGGTTCTTTTCTGGAAAGGGGAGACCTTCAACACAGGTTTGTGGGTGGCATCAAGAATCAAGATGTATATTGATTACTTGGGGAGCTTTCTGTTTACAAGTTCATAAACATTTTTTAGTGTCAAATGTTATGGTGCTTGTGCAACTATTTTTTTCCCTTTTCTTGCCAAATAGTTTTCTTTCCTATTATTGATAAATTGTTCTTGCCAGCAGAATGTAAATTGGTATAGTTTGAAGTCCATCATGAAATTGTACATCTTGTGCTATTGATAAATATTCTATTCTGTTGGCTAATAATATTGGCGTTGTCTAGAACCATATTGAAAGTATGCTGGGGGTAGGTTTGTAAAAGTTCACTCCACCTGGCACCCTTGATTAACTAGGACCAGAATTAGCAATATGGAGTGGCCTTTTTCCTCTAAATTTTTGGATATAGCACATTCAAAGTTCTAATGAATATTATACTTTAATTTTGAAGATGATGCTGTGACTTGATCAAAACATTGCATATAATATTTGCAATTTTTAGTCTCTGCATGTTATGTTGTTGTGGCTACTAGGTTATGTAAGCAAGTAAGAAAGTCCATTCTGATTTTTTAAAATTATGTTCTTGTCAAGTAATTACCGGCATGGTCATCTTCTTTGGCTTCCACTGATTTGGTACGTCTTCGGATGAAACTTTTTCTCTATTTCTTTCTTTTTGTGAAGTGTTCGGATGAAATATTTTCTTGAAAGAACAAGTAAGCAAATAACTTTACCCCACCCAAACAAAAATGATGAATTTTCTAGCATCGTGTTATATTTATTACATATTTGTAGAATTTTGTCCCTTTGACCTTACCTTATGACCTTGGTCAACTTTCTTATTTATTTATTTGTTCATATATTGTTTCTAGTGCCTAATCATCTTAATATGTTTGGGCTTAAATTTAATTTTCCTCCGAGTCTTTTGAAGTGCCATTAATTCAGAAGTGCTACACCAAACTGCCTAGAACCTTGATAAAAAACATGATTGTTAGTCTTGCAGCATGTGGGCACACATACAGTGCATTAATCCTGTTTCAGTGGGTAGGAGATGCAAAATTGTTCATTTGTTGTTTTCTTTCTTTCTTTCTTGGTTTATAATTTTTTATTCATAAATATCTTATTAAAATGTCTTAACGACTATTGGTTCGGCAGACAGCAATGATTTTTTGTTCCTGTTTTTTTATTTTATTATTTTTTAAATTAATAAGGCTGTTTGCATGTCTATCTTATTTCAGGTAATTCTTTCGGTAGTATTGACTGCTGCTGGGGTTATGATTGCAGCGCTGGGAGATTTTTCTTTTGACCTTGTTGGATATAGCATGGCCTTTACTTCTGTTTTCTTCCAGGTTTGGTCTTGGGCTTTTCTTATTGAAATTTGTGAATAACAAGTGCTCATAAAATCATTTTGGAGCCTTGTTGCTTGAGCTTGTGATATGCTTGCATATGCAGACCATGTACCTTGTGTTGGTGGAGAAGTCTGGTGCAGAGGACGGACTTTCATCAGTCGAGATCATGTTCTATAACAGCTTTTTGTCTTTACCATTTCTGGTATTTCTTATCATAGCTACAGGAGAGTTTCCAGATTCTTTGTCATTGTTATTATATATTCTGGACACTCTCCCCCTTTGTTGCCACTCCTTAATCTTTGCTAAGATCATGGATGGACATGGCTGCTGCTTTTGCTGGGAATTTGCTACTTGTTACCCTGTTCTCGTTCTACTGTAACTGCTTGCAACTGCCTTCTCTACACATTCTATACTGACATCATTTAAATCTTGCTTCCTTCAAGCCTGTTGACAGACTTTGTGTGAAAAATGGTTGCAAATAGACCCAACATATTCCAACCCTTTATCTCTCTCTCTCTCTCTCTGAGTGAAAATGTCAAAATACAACTTCTGTTTGCAGTTAGTTTGAAAAAAATCAATGGCTATGCATGATTTGTTGTTATTTTAGTGATCAGATGGTTTAATAGATGCAATCAAATCCAGCCAAATTGATCATTCTTGCAGTCAGATTCAATAATATCTCAACATTAAAAAATGTGAAATCACACCAACGCAAACATGAACATTAACCTGATATGGAACTTCAATTTGTGACCATTCTGCTTGTAAATTATGGATATCTGTTAATGATAGCACAATGATTTATCAAGAGAGAGAATTGAGACAGAGAGGCCATCTGTTGCATGGCGTTTATGAGTCAGGCTTTTCATTTTTTGATGCTTGGAAATGTACACTAGTTTTATTAAGGAAAGCATTGGTTGTATTCATAAAAACTCTAATTCATGACTGTGATTGAACTTTTATGTTTGTCAGGGTGAAACATACAAGTTGTTTTGGCCTGATCAACCCGTATTTGTGAGGATGGCAGCAAGGTTTTGGGGCTACAATTGTACCATTTGACATTGCAGAAGTAAGGATATTCTTTTGTTTTTACCAGACTTCTTTAGTAGAATTGGTACTATAGTTTGATTTGACATGTGCATATAAAGGTTTTATCAGCTATTCTTTTCTTTTTTTTTTCTTCTTCTTTAATATTGCTATTCTTTTGTTTTTACCAGACTTCTTTAGTAGAATTGTTATATCCGTTTGTTCGCCATTCGATTTTCTATGGTGCGCCTTCTTTGTGCAACAGGGTGTGTTCATCGATTTGCCTCACCTTGCGTAGGACAGGGTAGTCAGTCATGTTAGATAGTTTGATATGTATTGTTTGGTCTATTTCCCAATAGCTTAAATTTTTGGAGTAGATGACTACTTAAGACATGCGAGAAGATACTAAGGTGGTGTTTCAAAGTCCTTTCGGACTATAAAAGTCATTTTGAATAAATTTTTCCTGTTTGGTGAAGGCAACAGAAAGTGATTCAGCCAAAAGTCACGCGAGCCAAAGCCCCTTTCAAAGAAGCTACCTAGGTTAGCTTTTAGAATGCTTGCTGAATTGGCTTCTCACAAAGTCAGGCACCAACTTAAATGAATTTCTTAAATTTCCCATATTATCCTTCTTGAAACAAGTTGTCTATAATACCCTGTTATATCATAACATTTACAAATCATACCCCATAAAGCATAACGTGCAAGACTCTTAGAAGTGGATCTTCTGCAACGCAATGCATATCTATGCTTATATGTATCTGCAACTTGGTGAGTAGTTTTTCTTTGTTCTATGTGTTTATCCTATCTCATTTCAAACAATATGAAAAGTGAAGTTTGGGTTCGATTGTTTTTCTTGAATGCTTGTTCACTATTTATACATTTTGTTTAATTTCTGTTGTGCATTAGATCGATCTCTCTCTCTCTCTCTCTGATCATGGGTTCGCAATTAGCATTTTACTTATCTATTTTCCCAATAACCTTCTGGCTGGTGATGTTATGTATTTGGACGCTGCAGCTAGTTGTTGATTATGATGACTTGATGAGAATCCCCGTGGGAATTAATCAAGACGGTGTAAGGTTGAGGTAATTACTCTTCATTTGGCAACATTTTGCTTATTTCTTAATATTTCCTCATACACTCAAATTTACATATTACCAATACAAAACATGTTTTTCTGGTTATAGGACTGAAATGGAGGGGGAGATTGCCAAACAAGATTTCTATTTCCCCGGGCTTTTGCCCAAGATACCTGGCCGCTTTTACTATCTATTTGGGAAACTGATACAAAGGAAAGGAAGCGATGCTAAAAGACAGATGTACGGGAAAGAAACGTCAGCTAGCCGGTGGGTGTGTGCCGGAAACCTCTCCGATGCCTAAGTCAGCAAACTTGACAAATAGACAAAGCTCTTTGTATTCAGAAAGCAAAGTTGTGTGTTACCTCCTCCAAGGTGATGTTTGTGAGCTTTTATAAGTTTCAAGTGGCACAATCCTAGTAGGACTCTTATTTCTCCATGCAGAGTCCTCCTAGGATTCATACTCCTGTAGGATAATGCTTATCCTTTAACACCCCCCACTGCTTAAACCAAGTGGGATGGTTTTTACCATGGCCAAACTACCATACGACCGAGATAAAACTGGCTATGCTGAGCCACAGAGTCGGCCAAACTATCCTTAGTTTGGTTCTTCCTTTTACTCTTTCCTATCTCGGTTCTCTTCTGTTCAACCCATGGTGTGTTTAGACCGAGCTACCGAGTAGCAAGGTTTTGACCGTTCTAACCACAAAACATCATGACCGGACTACCACCGAGACCGACCTAACTCCAAATTGCTTCCGGACCGGAGTAACTTTGTCTCTCTTGGGCCGGAGTAACTTTACAATTCTTGGGCCGGAGTAACTTTTCGGCCTTTTTACCCAGTCCTTCATACATTGGGCCATAAGGTCCATCTCATAACTCGGCCCAATTTTTACCAAAAATTACCCTCTCAATTGCCCCTTAATTCCATCTGCACAGCATGATTGGGATTACCTGTCTACCAGCCGAGCTGAAGTTTTTAAGCCTTTCCAGCCGAGCTAAAAAACCGTTTAGCCTCTCCAGCCGAGCTAAAAAAAACTCTTTAGCCCTCCAGCCGAGCTTATTTCACTCCGGGCTCTACTCGTTCGGTCAAAACGTCTCTTTAATCACAGTGACTGTAACGCTTCACTTTCCAATGACACGTGGCAGGCTCTGATAGGCTGTGGGCAGCTGTCACACCGCCCTCATACTACGAAAAATTTGAACAGTTACCGCTTTTTCTCTCTCGTCCTTTTCACAAAACAACCCCTCTATCCTTGAATCATTCACCCACACTTTTCACCTTCTTCTCTCTTCGTGCCTCTGCTTCTCCAACCTGAGTTCGTGTTCTTCATTGGTGCTGTTACTCCCATCACCAGCTTCATCTTCTTCTAGTAAGCTTCATAAAATCTGTTTTGTTTTTCTTATTTCTGCTTTCTATGTTTTTGCGAAACATGCTTGTACATTTTTGTTTTTGCTTCTATACTTTCATGGAAAAATCAATAGAACCTATGAGTATATGTTATATATCCTATAGAAAACTCGCTTTTGATCCCGAATCATATCCCAACCGAACTAGGAAACTGTTTGTGTTATTTAGGTAGATCAATTCAGACAATAACCGAACTAGATACACTCTAGCCGAGATACTCTTACCGAACGAAGTTCTGTACTCAATAAACTAGGAACCTTGGTATTCAACCGAGCTAGGCCTTGGAGCTAAGCCAGCTTTCTTAGTTTCTAAACCAAACTCAGAAAGCTGCCCCTAGAGGCTCAACCGAAGTAACAAAACTCATAGTTCAACCAATTTAGGCCTTTAGGGCTAAGCCAGCTTTCTTAGTTTTTTAAACCGAACTCAAAAAGCTGCCCCTAGACGATGAACCGGTCTAACAAAATTGTTTCCAAAGCCAGTATGCCGAAATGCTCACCAAGGTCTTGGCTAATAAAAAACCCTGCCCAAACCGAGCTACCAAGCATTTTGCTGAATCGAGATAGGCCGAAGTAGGGCTCTTTTACCTTGCTTTTAATTTGTAGCACGGTCCAATGATCTGTGCTTAACCCCTTTGTTTTCTACTTTGCAGACTTTGGTTGCCCAGGCACTCCTCCGTGCGCTCAACCGAGCTACTGAGCACAACTTTTGCACCGATATAACTTATTCATAATTTATACCTTAAATGGGGAAGTATAGGTATCTAGTAGACACTCCAGGCGGCCTAGCCGAATTCAGAAAGGACTATAACATACCTGATGAGGTTCACCTGTCTTTAGCCGAAAAAGATGTCATTCCTTGGGATAACGAAGGCTTTGTCCCCTTTACCCTCTTGTCAATTATTGAAACCGAACTACGATTTCCAGTCCAACCTTTAATCTGCGAGTTTCTTAGGCAAACTAGATTATGCCCTACCCAACTATCCACCAATTCATACCGCATCATTATGGGAATAGCCGAACTGAACCGCCAAGCCGGACTAAACCTTGGCCTGGCCGAAATCTTCCACCAATACTCCATTGGTTCAAAAGAAGATGGGTGGGTCTATTATTTGAGAATTCGTCGTCGCCGAGAGAAGATAATAAAACACACACCGGATAAAGACTTAAACGACGACGACTTTTTCTGGGTGTCTGGGAACTTTGAGGATCACCAAGCCCAGATTCCTGGCCGACCTATAAACTGGAAAAAAGGAGAACCCGGTATACTTACTTCAGTTTTTCTTGCTTGCATTTTTTTTATATTTCGGCTTTTTAATGTATCAACTGGACTAACAGTTGTCTTCTTTCGTAGATTCTGCCCACCTTTACTCTTTATACAGCTACCCAAACCTAGCCATTTTGCGCGCCGCACTACGGTATCCAGAACGTAGCTGGGCCAAATTGTTGAAGTTCGAGCTGACCTACAGATACAGTGGTCGTCGAAAAGTCAGAGTGACTGATTTTCTTCTTGAAGACGCCCCAGAGCCGGACTCAACCTTACCCCAAATCAGACTAATTCCACTCACTGCTGAAGAGGAAATGGCCAAAAAGAACAGAGTAAGGGCTCTATTGACCGAAACCAACAGGGCCGAAGTACCACCAGCAAGTCAAACCCAAGAAACGGTGGTGGCCCTTCCTATTCAACAACCGTCCCCATCCCGCCGAACCAAGCGCGCCCGGACCGCCGAAACCGAACCAAGTTTGGTTGATGAAGAAGAAACTGCTCTTCCACCAAGCCTGCCACCAAGCCCCCAACCGGAGCCTTCCGAGCGAACTACCACTAGCTGGGTGCCAAAACTTTCCTTCAACAACTGAGATATCCAAGACTCTGACTCGGTTGTTGCTGAGAAGGATCACCAGTTGGCCTTCAACCTGGCCAAGAGTGTGTGCCTCCCCAAAGATATGGAGCACCACCAAAAGCAATTGAACACCGAACTGAAGGCCATCCGGTCTTCAACAAAATCCATGATCTTGGTAAGTAGCTCTGTCCGTTTTTCTGTCTAATTTTTCCAACTTTCACTTCGGCTCAAGGGAAGTCTTTGTTTTGTCAGGCCATTCAGAAAAACAACATTACTTACAGGAAGGTGATAGAGCTCAGGAAAACAACGAGGCAAGCCGTGGCAGAAGCTGAAGCGAAGGCGACCGAGCTAGAGGAGGCCAGAAAGCAAATGGCCGAGCTACGAGCTGAGAACGGCCGACTGGCCGGATTGGTTAGTTCGACCGAGGCAGAAAAGCAAAAGGCTGCCATTGTGCTAAAGGATAAGTATCTGCGCGAGCTGGTGAAGCTTGAAAGGAAGAAAGATACCGAGATAACCCAGCTGAAGGAGAGCGCAAAAGGAGCCGAAAAGAAAGGTTTCAAGAAGGCGGAGGATGCTTACACCCGGGCAGTGTGAAGCCGCCAAGGAACTATTCTTCAAGTGCGGCTGGAGGGCAGCTGTTGAGAAGCTCGGTCACGATCCACAGACCGAGGTCTTCAACCCTCCAGCCTACTTCATACCGAACTCCCTAGTGG